CATCACACAACTCATCAATTCTTGTATTCTTGAACTAACTTCCATTGTCACTTTTAATTTTCTTGATGGTTGTTTCAAACTCATTGTGAATGCCCTTGACAAATGATTTGAATGTTGCAAACACATCACTCTTGTCAACAAGAAAGAACACCCATGTGTATCTAGTGAAATCATCCACAATCACAAATCCGTATTTGTTTCCACCAATGCTAGTGTATGTGGTTGGTCCAAACAAGTCCATGTGCACTAACTCAAATGCCTTGGATGTGCTCATCATGCTCTTCTTAGCATATGTGTTACCAACTTGCTTTTTGGCATGACATGCACTACATAGCTTATCCTTCTCAAATGTGACATCTTTCAAGCCTCTAACTAAGTCATGCTTGATCAACTTATTCAATTGTTTTATTCCAACATGACCAAGCCTTCTATGCTATAACCAAACCATGCTAGACTTAGTGATCAAACATATTGACAATTGAGCTTCTCTAGCATTGAAATCAACCAAGTATAGATTCTCATATCTAAATCATTTGAATATCAAGTTAGAACCATCTACACTTATGATCTCTATATCATCCACACAAAATATGCACTTGAAACCAAGAACACATAATTGAGCTACCAACAATAGGTTGAAGTTCAAGCTCTCTACTAGTAGCATATTGGAAATGCTCAAGTCATTGGATATTGCAATCTTACCAAGCCCTTTAACCTTGCCTTTGCCATTGTCGCCAAATGTGATACTATAAATCCCATTGCTGTTATTTTCATTGATTGAATTGAACATTCTTGGATCACCGGTCATGTGTTGTGTGCACTCACTATCAAGCACCCAATGCCTTCCTTCGGCTTTATAATTGACCTACAAAAGAAGATCAATTCTTGTTAGGTACCCAAACTTGCTTGGGTTCTTGAAGGTTAGTTACCAAGGTCTTTGGTACCCAAATGGCCTTCTTCTTTGGGCCCATAATTGGTGTACCAATGAACTTAGCCTTCACACCATTGGCACCCTTAACAAGCATGTCAAGAATCAAATCTAATTGAGGATACATTAGGTAGCTTGTTCTTGTTAGACTTGCAATATTGCTCTATATGCCCAACTTGCTTGCATCTATTGCAAAACCGATCATACCCTTCACAAAGCTAACTTTGGGAGTGACAAAGGCCGCCTTGCCTTTCTTAGGGGTATAGCCTAATCCTTCTTTGTTGAGAGAAAACTTTTGGCTACCCAAGCACTTTAGCAAGCGGGCATCTCCACCATAGGCATTGCCTAAGGCATGAGTGAGCTCATTCACCTCCTTCTTGAGGGTCTCATTTTCCACCATTAGTGAGGCATTACAAGTGAGACCATCACTCAAAGGTGAAGTTGAAGTGGAAGCGCTACAAGAAGTGTTAGTGGGAGCAACTACAATGGGCTTATCAAAAGATTCATCAATAATATCACATGTTAGTCCCACATCACAAGACACAATCACTTGCTCCTTCTTGGCTTCTTCCATTTTGACTTGCTTGATGAGAGAGGAGTGAGCCTTTTCAAGCTTAGAGTGAGCTTTACCAAGCTTCTCATGGGCTTCCATTAGCCTCTCATGAGTGGCATTGAGCTCATCAAGAGATTGCTCAAGAAATTTGACTTTCTTGTTCAATTCTTTGCACTCCTTTCTCTTCATCTCAAAGCAAGTGTGCACTTGCTCACACATATCCATGAGCTCCTCCTTGGTGTACTCCTCCTCCTCCTCATCACTCCTACAAGCATCACTTTCACATTTATCATCATCACTCACATCATATTTTACCTTGGTAGGCTTTGCCATGAGGCATATCGATGGAGTGTCGAAGATGGAGGGCTTGTTGTTGATGGCGATGCTTGCTAGTGCTTTCTTGATAGATTTTTTGCCATCATCACTAGAGTCATCACTATCCAAAGAGCCATCACTATCCCAAGTGACCACATATCCTCCACCCTTCTTCTTCTTTTGAAAGGTCATCCTCTTCTCCTTCTTCTCCTTCTTGTCCTTCTTGTGCTTCTTCTTCTCATCCTCATCATTGTCACTATTATAGGGACAATCCGCTACAACATGATTGGGGCTCTTGCAATTGTAGCATCTTCTCACATATTCTTTGCTTTTGGTGTGATCTCTTCTCTTTCTTGCACCATAGCCCTTCTTCTTCATGAATTTGTCCATCTTGTGCACAAATAGAGCCATGGCTTCATCATCAATATCACTAAGATCATCATCATCACTTGATTCTTTCTTAGACTTGCCCTTGTTCTTGGCTGATGAGCTAGCCTTGAATGCTACACTCTTCTTCTTCTTATCTTTGTATTCCTTCTTGTCATCCTTGTCAACCCTTTTCCTTTCCACACAGTATGTTTCTTGTGTCATGACCTCACCTAGTACTTGGTTAGGGGTAGTCTCCTTCAATCCTCCTCTTATGATAAGCAATCTCAACATCTCAAATCTTGGAGGTAAGCACATCAAGAACCGATAAGAGACATCATCATTCTTGATCTTCTCTCCCAATGCCTTCAAATCATTGACAATTACTTGCAATCGATGGAACATCTCCGGAATGCTCTCATCTTCCTTTATCTTGAAGCTTGTCAACTTGTCCTTGAGAATATACAACTTGGCACTCTTTACCTCTAGTGTGCCCTCATATGTTTCTTTCAATCTCTTCCATACCTCATTAGCTCTATCACAATCCTTGATTTGCTCAAACACCTTGGAATCAATGGCATTGTATATGGTGTTGAGAGACATTGTATTGCGTTGCTTGTTGGTCTTGTCTTGGTTGGTGAGATTGTCGGGATCAATGATAGCATAGTAATTCTCGATCACATCCCATACTTGATCATTGATTGAACCAAGATACATCTTCATCTTTCTCTTCCAATAATCATAGCATGTGCCATCAAAGAACGGTGGTTTGCCCCCATATGGTTGAACACAACTTGAGCCATAATTTGACACCGAGGTTGTTAAGCCTTCAACTAAATGGTGACCATAGCTCTGATACCACTTGAAAGGTCCTAATATGGCTATAGGGGGAGGTGAATAGCCTATTTAAAAATCTACAAACCAACTAGAGCAATTTGATTAGTATAACAAATAGCGAAATGCAAACTTGCTCTAGCTCTACAAGGGTTGCAAGCCACCTATCCAACAATTCTAGTTGCTATGATCACTAAACACACAATTTTCTATGTCACTACTCACAAAGAGCTCTCACACTTGCTACACTAAAGAGCTTCACTAGATGAACTTAAACTACAAAGCAAGCCATCAATTCTAGCTACACTAAAGAGCTTGCTACAACTAGTTTGCAAGAATATAAATGAGTGAGTAGGGTGATTATACCGCCGTGTAGAGGAATGAACCAATCACAAGATGAATACTAAAGCAATCACTGGGACAATACCAAAGGGCAAGAGACAACCAATTTTTCTCCCGAGGTTCACGTGCTTGTCGGCACGCTAGTCCCCGTTGTGTCGACCAGCACTTGGTGGTTCAGTGGCTAAGAGGTGTTACATGAACCTCGTCCACGCAATTTGGACACCGCAAGAACATACCCACAAGTGAGGTAACTCAATGACACGAGCAATCCACTAGAGTTACCTTTTGGCGCTCCACCGGGGAAGACACAAAACCCCTCACAATCACCGCGATCGGAGTCGGAGACAATCACCAACCTTCGCTCGACGATCCTCGCTGCTCCAAGCCATCTAGGTGGTGGCAACCACCAAGAGAAACAAGTGAATCTCACAGCGAAACACGAATACCAAGTGCCTCTAGATGCAATCACTCAAGCAATGCACTTGGATTCTCTCCCAATCTCACAAAGATGTTGGATCAATGATGGAGATGACTGGGAGGGCTTTGGCTAAGCTCACAAGGTTGCTATGTCAATACAAATGGCCAAGAGAGTGAGCTAGAGCCGGCCAAACAGTATTTATAGACACCCCCAATCAATAGAGTCATTGGCTCAATTATTGGGCTGACTACGCATCGACCGGACGCGTAGGTCTGTGTGCACCGGACGCACCGGTCGTGTATGCCGGACGTGTCTGGTAGGGCGACCGGACGCTTCTGGTCGCTACCTGACCGCCACGTGTCTAATTCAAACTGATGTAGCCGTTGCTGCCACACATTCACTTGTGACCGGACGCCGAGTTAGAAACGACCGGATGCTGAGCCGCAGCGTCCGGTCGAGTCCAGAGAGTTCCCTAGGCCAACCGGACGCGCTGTTAGAAAGTGACCGAACGTTGATCCTCAGCGTCCTGTCGAGTCTAGTAAGCTCCCAGGTTCGACTGAACGCGTCCGGTCACTCCGGACCGGACGCTCCCAGTGTTCGATCAACTGTTACACTGAACATCGACTTCGCTGATTCACACCGAACGTGTCCGGTGTGGCGACCAGACGCGTCTGGTCGCTCTCTTCATTTCAGTATCGAGCCACATACCGGACGCGTCCAGTCACTCTGTTACCAGCACGACTAACTCCTTTTCAACTCTATCTTCTTCACCCTTGCTCAAATATGCCAACTACCAAGTGTATCACCTTGTGTACATGTGTTAGCATATTTTCACAAACATTTTCAAGGGTGTTAGCACTCCACTAGATCCTAAATGCATATGCAATGAGTTAGAGAATCTAGTGGCACTTTGATAACCATATTTTGATACAAGTTTCACCCCTTTTAATAGTACGGCTATCGAACCTAAATATGATCACACTCGATAAGTGTCTTGATCACCGAAACAAAATGGCTCTTACCACTTATACCTTTGCCTTGAGCCTTTTGTTTTTCTTTATCCTTTTCAATGTCCAAACATGTGATCATCATCATGGCATCGCCATCATCATGTTATGATCTTCATTTGTTTCACCACTTGGAATGTGCCACCTATCTCATAATCACTTTGATAAACTAGGTTAGCACTTAGGGTTTCATCAATTCACCAAAACCAAACTAGTGCTTTCACCTGGACGCCTCACCTGCCGTCCATTTTTGCCAAGCCTCCCACTCAGCTTGCGTCAGTAGCACCTGGTCGGTGTCTGACTTCGCACCACCCGCTCCCTGCTTGGTGCGCTCCTCATATGCCTTCAACCACCCAACAGCTTCATCGAACGCGAGCTTCTTGAGATCATAGAATTGTTCGATCCCGACGACCGCGTTGATGTAGCGCTCTAGCATGGTGTCAAAGAGCTTCTTCACCAGTGCAGCGTCATCCAACGTGCCGCCTAGATTTGCATACCTCACTGACATCCTCGTCAGCTTCCCAGCATACACATCGATCGACTCCTCCTCCTTCATCCGCAAGCCATCAAATTCGCTTTTCAATGTCTGCAACCGTGCCTCCTTGATGCGCTCCTCGCTAACAAACCTCACCTTGAGCAAGTCCTAGACCTCCTTCCCAGTCTTCTTCATCGCGACTTGGATTAGTAGATCGTCGGGCAGGCACTGGATTAAGTGCGCCCGCGCCTTCCTGTCCTTCTACTTCGCCACCACAACCGTCATTGTGCCCTGATCGGACGTCTCCCCCGATGGTTCCATGATCTCCCAAACGCCCTGATCCTCCATGATCGCCTGAACGCTGATGCTCCAGCTTGTATAATTGGTTGCGGTGAGCGGTGGATACGTAATCCAATCACCACCACCTCCGCCACCACCACCGGTGCTTCGGTCACCCATGGCTCGATCACACGATGCTTTTGCAAGTGATTGATGGATCTGATACCAAATGATAGCATAGGATCAACAATCACAAGCAAATCACATGATGGCTAAGCATAATACATAAGAATGCACATGAACATGACGAACAACCATGGCAACCGCCAGGGATGACAGTGCCCCTTTTCACTATTCAGATGTTCGATTACAAACATGGTTACAACATAACCAAAATGCTCACATGCTCACCAAACACCCAGCTATTTATACCAATAGCTAATACACACTGTGACGCACACAGAAACCATAAAAACATGATACAAAGGAATGTCAGTGTAACTGCTAGCTCTAGATCGCGTCGTGGGCATGGTCACCACCTCCAGGCTGCGCCAACCACTCACGCTCTAGACTTGAATTTGAATTCTTGTCTTTCTCGCCTTCATAGTTGTCCAGCGCTCCTCTCACTTCACCACGTCATCGTGCAGCTAGCTTACACCAACATAGGAATACCAGGGAGTTAAGTGATCTCGCCATCACTGCTAGAACCATTGATCGGACTCTGAACCACCATGGGCGAGCTCTTTGTCCGCCGAGGGTGCTAGGTGCTGGAGGTGTATGTGGTGGAGCGCGCACCACCAAACTTCACGGGCGTAGACATAGGAGAGCAATAGGTGGTCCGTGGTTTCAGGTGCTTGTCCATAGAGAGTGCAGGTGTCGTCGTCCTACAATCCATGGCATTTTTTACGGTCTGCAGTCCATAGCCTACCGTGGATTGCCAGCCAAAAGAAGAATTTCACCTTTGGTGGCACGCTGGACCTCTAGAACTCCTTAGCTCCCATCATTGTTGATCTCCCAATGAAGAAGGAGCGGTATGCCAAAGAAGCTGTGTACTGACAAGACATTGTCCACTTCTAGATGAAATGATCTAGGGTCGTTGGTTGTAGATTGATCTCCTCGAGCATCTCCCATAGCTTGACGTACTTGTAGAGCACCTGTGTGGTGGGCGCTCACTAGAGATGTCACGAACCCAACGACGTTGGAACAAGGCATCTTTTACTGTTCATCGCCTTCCTAGTTTGCTGATGGCTCGATATAGGTTCAGTGCAAGTTCTGAGATTGGCCTAGAGGGCAGCCATGAATCTGTCCAGAACATAGCCGAGGCAATGTCGCCCAGGAGCACTATCATTGATGCCCGAAACATGGATGTGAGCATCTTCTCTTCTTTGTATGGTAGGGCGGCCCAGGTGGAGTCTGGCTTTGTATGGCGTAGCCATTCCCAGTGCAGGCACAGTGCACAACCGAGGATCCTCAGATCCAGATTGCCAAGGCCCTCGCGTTCTTTTGGTGCGCAGACAATCGGCAGGCCACCTTGCACCGGTGAAAACCCTAGTTTGGTTTTGGTTAATTGATGAAACCTATTTGGACTAACCCTATGCTCTAAGTGTGGATTTGAGATAGGTTGGACCAACCCAAGTGAAGAAGCTAGGTGGCACTCATGGAGGGAGATGGCCACATGAAATGAAGTCCATGGTGATGGTTTGGACATGTGATGATAATCAAGCTTCGGGACTTGAAAAGAAGAAAGAGAAAAACAAAAAGGGCTCAAGGCAAAGGTGATATCAATAGGGCCATTTTATTTTTGGTGATCAAGACACTATAAAGAGTGTGATAACATTTAGGATAGATGATCGTACTATTAAAAGGGGAGCTCTTATCGGACAACTCGATCATCTAGTGCCACTAGGTGTTGGAAAACTTGCATATGCATTTTAGGCCTAGTGCACAATTGGTGAGAAAGTGATTAACCGTTGAAAAATAATTGTGAAAATGCTAACACACTTGCATGTGATGGTGAAACACTTGGAGTGTTAGCACATTTGCAAAGGTGGTGAAAAAGGAGAAGAAAAGGAGGCAAAACTTGGCTCGGGGTGCTGCCCTAGGGGCACCGCCACCCCATGTTTGGTGCACCGCCACCCCTATGGCAGTGACTGACTGAGCCTAGCTGAGATAGAGGAGTTTGGATGGGGCACCACCACCCTATCTAGTGGCACCGCCACCCCTAGGGCGGTGCCCACCTGACCCCGACCGACAGCAACAGAGAAGGAGGTGGCACCGGTGTGTCTGGTGTACACCGTCGCGGTGAGGGCGGTGCATCGCCTGGTCACCACCACTGGTGTGGTAGTGCCACTGCCACTTTTATCTAGAGAGCAGGGGGAATGAGGTTGGTCACCGCCGCCCTGAGGGTGGTGCACCGCTGTAATTTTCCAGAGACTAGTGTTTTTTGGGGGGCTGGCCGGATGGTCACTGCCACCCCTAGGTCGGTGCCACCACCGCCTGTCCGGTGCCCCAAACTAGCCATTGGATGACCATTGGAGGGGCATCGCCACCCCTGTCCGATGACCGCACCGCCGTGTCCGGTGCCCTCGCAGAAAGTGGCTCCAAGGGGTAACGACTCTATTTGCTTGTGGGCTTATAAATAGAGGTGGTGGCCAGCCTTGGCCACCCTATTGGCACTTCCCACACCTACATACACCCTTTGGGAGCTGAGCACACAACTCCACTCACTTGCACACTTGATTTCATCATCTTGAGTGAGATTGGAGAACCTCTAGTGCATTGCTTAGTGTTCTAGCATCTTGTGGCACTAGTTGGACGATTTGGGCTGGTGGAGTTCTTGTTACTCTTGGTGTTTGCCGACACCTAGAAGGCCCGGTGATTGGTGGATCGTCGAGCGGAGGAAGGTGATTGTCTCCGGCTCCGATCATTGTGATCGTGAGGGGTTCTTGTGCCTTCCCTGGCGGAGCGCCAAAGGCAACTCTAGTGGATTGCGCGTGACTTGTAGATCCTCATCTTGTGTTGATTGTGCGGCACCCGGTTGCAGGTTAGGCGTGTGATGCCTATTAGCGCATGAACTTCCAAGTGATTGAATCGCCACAATGGGGACTAGCTTGCCAGCAAGCAAGTGAACCTCAGAAGAAAATTTGATTGTGTCATCATTGTCTCCTTGGTACTCTTTGGTATTCATTGATTGATCACTTGCCACGGCAGTATATCACTTCTACCACTCTCCTGCATTACTTTGTGTATTTACCTTGTGTAGTGCTTGTGGTAGTTGTAGCTAGTGTAGCTCTTTAGTTGTAGTTCTCTAGCTATCTTGTTCACCTAGGTGTAAATTAATGACATAGCTCTTGTGTGATATACTAGAGATCATAGAGATTAGAATTAGGTAGGTGGCTTGCAACACAAGTGTAGTGCTAGCGCAAAATTCGCTTTGCCATCTAATTTACTAATCACTTGTCTTAGTGTTGTTGTAGAATTTTTTTATAGGCTATTCAATAGGATCACTGACAGAGTGGATTTGGTAAGCGCAAGTCTTCCTGTCATGTTCAGCATGCTCGTCTTCCATGTGGGGATTTTGGTCATGACAGCATCCACTAGCTTTTGCTCATCTGAGCATTTCAGCGAGGTGACCGATAGTGGTGCTCCAAGGTACTTGCACGGGAATGGAGACAGTTGATAGGGAAAGATCACCTGAATTGCCTTGATGGTTGCCTCAGAGCATCGGATCAGCGAGATCAAGCACTTGTCGAGGTTGGTCAGCAGGCCCGAGGCCCCCGCAAAGAGGTCCAGGATTTCCTTGATGCAAATGAAGTCTTGAGGTAGCGATCAACCCCTCCTCCCCATCACCCGATGGTCCTGGTGCACCCACCGACCTTCAACATGCTTCCATGCAAAGAAGCACAACTTTGGCACATCATAACCATCCATTTTATGGCGGTTTGATCTAAGGGATGGTGTGAGAAGCACATGGATCCATGGGTCCACATCTAAACCCCCCATAAATAGAGGCTCACACCCACCCTCTCCATTCATGACTCAAGCTCCAAGTGAAGAGTAGAATACCTCCATTGTATCCTTAGTTTAGTAGGCTAGTTTAGTGTGGGTGTTAGAGAGAGTAGGGAGCTTTGCTCGGGCTTTTGAATTTGGTATTCTAGAGAGTTTGGCATGGCACATGGATCCTCCGATTGCGTGCTCAGCACGGAGGCCTCCATTATCAACTACATGCCACCACTTATTACCCGCCGGTCTGTGGTACTTAGTTGTGTTTGCATGCGGCGGTACCCATTGAACTAATTATGCAACAAGAAAACATCCTACCTTTAAAAGAATGCAGTACAAGCCTAGTAATCATTTTGTAACTCACTTTTGAAGCTTCATGTGGGCAAGTCAAGCAACATTGAGTTTTAATTTCCAACTGCCCTTGCAAAAATTGTCTGCATCAAGAAAGAATACAAATATGCTGATATGGAAGAAAGAAGGAAAGAATATAGATATGATGATATGTAAGGAAGAAAACTACTCAAAATCTCGTTGTCCGACCATCCAACAGATACAATCTCTGAGTTGTTTAGGTAGGTAGCATGCCCTTATCCCTTTGTTTGTTTGAACAGGTACACACCATACGCAGGAACGTGGAATTGACGAATTCTTTGAGGCCAAGCCACTCCGGCCCGTCTTTCAAAAATTTAGGAGGAGCATACTGTTCTGGAGAGCAAGTGTATCGAGGCTATAGAGTAAACTGGTTGTCCGACCGTGAGAGGAACCGCGGTAGACCCCCAAATTTCTGGTGCTATTGCTCATCATGTAACACGGTCGTGACTCGAAGCTCAATGATCAATGGTTCTGGTGCTTTTCTTTTTTTGGCTGATTGATCTTCATCTTTGGCTACCTCCATCACCATGAGTGCCATCTCACTCCACCACTTGGACTTGGACCACCCTAACTCATCTATACACTTAGACAAAGGGTTAGTCTAATAGGTTTCATCAATTAGCCAAAACCAAACTAGGGCTTTCACCGCCTAAGATGAAAGATTGCACCCAAGTTATCCACTTAGGTGAAAACCCTTTCATGCGGAGAGTTTGTAAAAGGAACGGTCACTTAAATTTATCATATGCTTTCTCAAAATCTATTTTTAAGATGACCCCACTGAGTTTTTTCAGTGCAATTCATGTATG